CCACCACCAGCTCCATCATCTTCGTCATCGGCCCCGCCCTTCAGGTTGCGCGTGCGGGCCGCATTCAGCTCGCTCTCGTCCTTCGCCTTCCTGATGCCCCACTGGCGGAGAGCAGGGGGCGCGCTGTCGAGCACCCCCGCGACGCCCAAATAGTGCCGAGCCATCCGCCACGACGGCGTGCCCGCACCACTGTAGGCGTCCACGATGGTGGCAATCCGACGGCTGATGCGCTCGAAGCTCTGCAGGGCTGGCATATTCAGCTGGTCAAAAAGTTCCCCCGATGTACACCACCTCGATCAGGTTGTGCAACTCATGGAACACTCTGTCCGTCTTCTCGATCCGACGGTCGCGGCAGAACTCCGCCAGCCAGATCTTCGGATTGCCACCGTTGCGGGAGGTCTGGTTCATCCAATGTAGCAGCGAGGCAGGTCCCTCCACGGGTCCGTCACCCCACTTCTCCGAGCGAGACTCCAGACACACCTGCCTCCACTCCTTGAACCGCTCGCCCCGTGGATCGAAACCTACCCACAAGGTGCGACAGTCCTCGGCCGCCGCGGCGGGAGGCTCAGCGACTGGAGTGTCCGTGCCCTTCCCGCCGCCAGCGTCGCTCTCGTGCACCGTGGGCCTCACCGCTGACGTCGCCAGGTCGAGGAGCTCACGAACGCGGACATCCACCTCGGACCTCTTCACCAACAAGCACTTCACGTATAAGTCGCCGGCATACTGCTTCAGCATCGCGCAGGAACCCGCCGGGATGTCCGTGCCATCTGCCGGCCCCACGATCGTCCCGACGGCGTCGGGCCCCTCGAACCCGAACACGACCCAGCACCAGCCGGGCGCCACCCGACCAAAGGGACGCGGAGCCTCCGCGCTCCCACCGACTCCACCGCCGTCGTGTGGCACCACCGCCGCCTCCATCTCTTGGCGGGCCTCATCGGGCCACGGCACTACCTCTCCAGCGCTGGTCACGTAGTCCTCGGGCAAGCGCTGCGGAGTCCCAGCCAAGGCCTGCACGCGGTATTGCTCCACCGCTTTACGTAGCAATTGCTCGTCGGTCGGGTACTCTCTGAACCGGTAGAGATTCCCGCGCAGCACTCTGGGGGGGCCACCGTCCAGCGCGAGCATCGCGAGCCGCTGCGGCCCAGGCTGGCTGCCGTCCAGCGCCTCCTCATACTCATCACCGTCAGGCGTGGTGATACGCCAGTTCCAACCAGGCGACGTCCCCAACTCCTCGGCGCCCGTGCCGACCAACAGCCGTTCGTACCAGAGCGCTTCCTCTGCATACTTCACCGCCACCGTCTGCCCTGGTCAAAGCCTAGGCAAGATATCCTCTTCGGTGCCGGCGAGCCCCGTCTCCAGCACCAGCCTCGCGCCTCTCGAACCTCTCGGCAGCAGCGCCATCTTCTCGACGTCCTTGCAGCCAGGCGCGCGCCTGCAGCCCGAACGTCGGCAGGCCCAGCAGGATGCCGACCCAGCCGCCAACGTCCGCCTCCGCCTCGCTGCGCTCGCAGCGGCACTCGGGGACGGCGAAGCCTTGGCCGCCCTCCTGGCCCTCGGCCCGCGTCACTGTCCACGGCGGCGGGGGTGGTGGGCTCTGGTCCCTCAGCCGCTCGAGCGTCGAGGTGACCACCGCCTCCACGCCAGGCCCGACCGCGGCGGGCTCGCTCGCCTCGGGCGTGAGCCGGCGCAGCTCGGGCAGGGAGGCGAGGATGGTCAGGATCGCCCACTGCCAGTGGGCAAGCCCGGCGCCCCCCATGCGCGCCGTCAAACTCCCCGGTTCATCTGGAGAGCCAGAGGCTTTCGGCAAAGCGAGGGGGAGCGACAAGACGCGATAGGCACAACATTTTCGTGCACGCACCCCCAAAAGGGCCCCAAGAAGCCAAAATCATTGATTTTCCATCGTTTCTTTTTTCTCACATTGTAGCGACCGTTTCCCGACGCTCCCAGACGGTCCCGGACACCCACGTATCGCCCCAACAGGCCCCCACGAAGACGCCGAGACGGCCCAGGGCCGCCCCCCGACGGCCCAAGACAGCCCCAACACAGATAAAAAGGGCCGCAAAAGGCCTCCCAAAGGCCCCGAAACGCAGACAGATCGCTCGAACGCGCCCAAGATGGCCTCCAGATGGCCCACGAGGCTCCCAACACGGCCCAAGGGGTCTCCAAGAGCACTCCTTCAATAATCCAAGATTTTCCATTGGTTTTTGATGGATTTCAGCAATTCTGCCCGTTCAGCTTCCTGACGCTCCAAGACGGTCCCGGACACCCACATATCGCCCCAACAAGCCCCCACGAGGGCGCCGAGACGGCCCAGGGACGCCCTGCTGCGGGCACGACGCGGGGCCCAGCCAGGGACGGGGCCTTTGGACCAGGGGCTCCGAGGGCCTTGCCGAGGCGCTGGGGGCTTTTTAAAATCCCCCGGACCGCCAGAAATGGCACTTCCAGACCGCGAAAACGACCAATGACGGCCCCAGATCACCCCAGAATTAACCCCTGACAGTCCAAGAGGCCTCCAAGACGCCCCCAGAAGCTTCCAAGATGCTCCCCAAGGAGCCCCAGGAGACACAAATAATTTGTTCTCTGGGTTTTCGAAAGATTTTCGAGTTCTCGCCTTTTCACTTTCCCGACGCTCCACGACGGCCCAAGAGGCCCCAATGTCCGCTCCAAAGCAGCCCCCGAGGCCTCGCAGACGACCACAAGACAGCTCAAGAGGGTTCCAAGATGGCGCCAGAGGCGCCCAAGACAACCCGAGAGGGCACCAAGACGACCAAAAGAGGGAGCCAAGAGAGGCAACGCGAACCGAAAATCTGAGCCTTCCACCCCGAGAGGCTCTCAGGAGGCCCCGAGAAGCCCCCAACAGGCCCCAAGATGCCCCAAGAAGCGCCCCAGGGGGGTCGAAGAGGTTCCAAGAGGCCTACCACGAAGGCCCCAAGAGGCAAAAGTCATTTTCGAGGTTTCCGTCTTTGGGCGTCCCGACGCTCCAAGACTGCCCAAGAGGCCCCTGAGACCACTCCAAGATAGCCGAAGAGGCCTCCAAGAGGGCCCCAAGACGGTGCCTGAGGCGCCCAAGGCGGCCCACGAGGGCACCAACACGGCCCCAAGAGGGGCCCAAGAGGGGTAAGACGAAGCGAAGATCCGAGCCTTCCACCACGAGAGGCTCTCAGGAAGCCCGAAGAGGCCCCCAATAGGATCCAAGAGGCCCTGAAGAAGTTCCCCAGGGGGTCGAAGAGGTTCCAAGAAGCCTACCACGAAGGCCCCAAGAGGCACAACTCATGGTTTTCCCATCGATGTTTGATTGATTTTCCAATCTTCAGCCTTTTGGCATCCCAACGCTCCAAGACGGCCCAAGAGGCCCCAAAGACCGCTCCAAGATAGCCGAACAGGCCTCCAAGAGGGCCCCAAAACGGACCACTAGTGCCCCAAGACGGTGCCTGAGGCGCCAAGACGGCCCGAGAGGGCCCCAAGACGGCGGGATGCCTTGGAAGCGGCTAGGAGCGCTTTGGGAAGGCCTTGGGTGCCTTGGGGAAGCGCCGGAAACGCCCAGGAGTCCCAAGAAGGGGAACGCGAACCCAACAGCAGAGCCTTCCGCCCTAAGAGGTCCACATGAGGCCCCAAGAGTCCCCAAGTGGTCCGACGAGGCCCCCAAAAGCTTCCCAAGAGGCCCCCAAAGGCCCCCGGAGACGCACAAGGGGCCCGAAGATAGCCGAGCACTGCTCTGGATGCATCAAAACTGCCTCCAGGAGGCCCCCAGGAGGCTTCCTGATTGCCTCAATGTGGCCCCAGGTGGCCTTAAGTAGGGCCTCCACGCAGCCAAGACGGCCAATGACGGCTTCAGATTGCAGACCTTCTGCCCGGAGAACCCCGGCGATGCCCCCAAGGGGCCCCAAGAAGCCCCAAGACGCCCCCCCAAGAAATACCCAAGAGGTGCCTCCAACAGCCAATTGCGGAAGCACGGAGAACCCCCCAGATGCCCTTCAGATGCCCCCACGAAGACCCAAGAAGTTCCCAAGTGGCCCTCAGGAGGCACGACTATGTCACGCGCCTGTGCTTGATAGCGCTGTCCAAGATCATCCAGCGCCCACCCGGCCCGGGCTAGAACCTGAGCGCGCACGAAGCGCGCGCGATGGTTCGAGTGTGTGTGTATATATAGATCGCTCTATCCAGATTTCTCTCTCTCTCTCTCTGTCCCTCCCCCCCTCTCTCTCGCATGTGTATATATATATATATGTATATACATGTGTACACATATATGTACATATGTGTACAAGCATGTTGGTTTAAATGCCTCTCTTTCTTTATGTGTATACATATATATATATATGTATCGCCCTTTCTCTGTGTCTCTTGTCGCCCTCTCTCTCGCTATGTGTTTGTCTTTCTGTTTTGTTGTTCTCTCTCTCTCTCTCTCTTCGTCGTTATCTCTCTAGTGTCTCTCTCTCTCTCTCCCTCGCTCTCCACATTCTCCGCCTCGGCCCTCCAGGGAGTGTCGAATCGAGAAGGGGTAAATCTACAGTCATCGTTTCCCTGCCAGGTGGCGAGTTGCACGCGGAGACCAGGGGGCGTCCACGCAAACGGTTTAGTCTGGAGTTCAACCTCCACAGGGCGAATCTCTTCGACGCTCGGCGTCCACGAGAAAGATGTACCTCTCAAAGGGTGAATCCCTTGAAATCCCAAAGGGTGAATACCTTGACGCTCGCCCAACGCAGGGTTAACTCCAGATTGAACCGTTCTTAACTCGTGGTTGCCGCCTCTTCCGCCGAGCGGGTCCCTTGCAGCTCGGCTGCACTTAGGAGAAGCAGGTCCCCGACTCCCGTGAAGCATAGGGCACCCTCGACCAGCCTGCCGCGGCGCTCTGCACCGCCGCAGGCAGTGGCTGCCTATGCCCGCGCATGCCCATGCCCGCGGCTCCCGCCCTGCCAGGAGGACCTCGTCCCGTAGCCAAGCTTGCCTGGAGAGGAGAGGGAAGAGGGGGGAGGGCCAGGAGGCAAGCTTCTCGATGGTCAGGCAAGACAAAACTGCCAACCACTACGGGTTACCGCGAAGTCAGAGGTCCAATAGATCGTAGAAGTGACCTCGAATGGGTCGTCTCCGTTCCAACCGTAGCCAGAGTACCAAGCTGCACCGTTCAATTGCACCCAATCATAATTTTCCTCAGTATAGAACCACGTCGGCGTAAGCCATACCGACGCAGACCGTAAAGTGATGATGCAAGACTCGCTGTTACCGTAGTCGTACGGGTAATTCGCGCTCCTCACGCAGCCGTCGGAAGACGTGCAGTCGCCAGAGACAATGAAGGGATTCGTTGTCGAGGTCGCTGAGGTCGTGTGTTCTGTGGTCGAAGAACTCATCGTCGAAGAGGTCCCCGTCGTGGAGGTCAGCGTCGATGACTCCGTGGTCGTGTGACCTGTGGTCGTCGAGGACTCCGACGTAGTACTTACCGAAGTGGTGCTCGATGCCGATGTGGTCCAGCGGCGCCCGCCTCCGCAGGCGCAGCACATGTCGGCAGGGCTGAAGTCCGTATCGTCGTAATAAGCTGCCCATTCGCAGGTCGAAGGGTACCAATCCCACTTGAGGCATCCACTCAAGTCGGTTCCTTCTTGCGCATAGCTCATGGCGCCGTCGTTCGTGTCCGCGCACAACTCGTACAACTGCTTTGTGTAGACCCCGCCCCCCTTGCAACCGCAACAGGATTCCGCCGAGTCCCCGAGGTAGCAATCATCATACCATACATTCCAGCTATGACCTTCCTGGGGGCATCCTGTGTTGGGCTCCCTGTCCGCACAAGTTGTTTCATTTCCAGTCCCAATGCAGACACAAGTGGAACCACCATAGCCGCAGTAATACACGCCAGCAATGTTCAATGTAGGCCGAGCTTGCAGAGAAGAACCTACAGCACAACCGTGCAGACCCCACTCGTCAGTATCCACGGTTACGTATGCACTCGTGGTCAAGCCGAGTTCCTGCGCAGCGAAGGAACATAGATCCTGATCGGCGGTGATGGGCCACTGGCAGTATCCATCATCCCTTGTGTGGACAGGTATTCTTTCGCACCTACCAGAATAATACGGATATTCTGGTGTAGCTCGAATCGAACCGACATATCCAGCGTCGCAAACACAACCATCTGCCACCCCATTGCCACCAGCTATCACCACTGAATTTGCAGGGCAAGGGACGTCCGAACAATCGTCGCTGTCGCCGTCGTCTCGCTTCCCTGCTTCACAAGGCGTGCACTCCACGGCACCGCCGACGACGGCCCGGCGACGTGTTGAGCCACCTTCGCATTGCACACAGTCGTCGGAGCTCCCGTCGTTGTAGTAGCCCGGGTGGCAGTCGGTACATACCGCTGAGCGCCGCCTCGTCGTGGAGCAACTCAGAGCCGCCGCACACTCGTCCGAGGTCATGTTCTCGGACTTGTAGGTGCCGCCAGGGCAATCCGTGCATGCCGTTGCCCTCCTGCGCCGGGTCGTGCCGCCGAGACACGAGGTGCACTGGTCGTTGTCGCCAGCGTCGTAGGTGCCAGGGTCGCAGTCCGTGCAGGATGTGGAGCGCCGCCGCCGCGTCTGGCCGTCCAGGCACTGCGAGCAGTCGTCCAGGTTCCCCAGGTCGTAGTGGCCGTCTGGGCACTCCGTGCAGGAGGTCGATCGACGCCGCCTCGTCTCGCCGTCGGTGCACTCGTAGCACGTCGGGAGGCCCCCGTCGTTGTGGTAGCCCGCGATGCACTCCTCGCTGTACCAGGGGTGCACGTGAGCGCACGCCTCCTCCGCCGCGTCGCCGTAGCACCCGGTCAGGACGCAAGTTGCAGGGCACTCGTCCAGTCCTTTGGACTCGTCGCAGCCGCAGGCGACGGGGCAAAGAAACTTGATGTGCTGATGCACCCCGTCGGCGCAGAGGTCGAGGTTCAAGAGGGACGTGACCTCGTAGGAGGCGAGGAAATCGCAGCCAGTCAGACCTCGCGGGTGTGGCAGCCCCGGTACCAGGTCCCAGCTGCCACCCGCCAAAGATCGGGCCATCTCGCCCGTGGCGATCTGCTCGATGAGCTCGATCTGGGTGGCCTCTTCGGGGGCGATGCCGGCGTAGTCCGTCTCGACAACGTTCGCGACGCCCTCTCGGAACCCAGGCACGCGCATGGAGTACTCGAACAGGCCCCTCACGTACAGCACGAACACGATCGCCTTCGGCGGCAAGCGCCAGCAGGCCTCGGTGAAGTGGTCGTAGCACTCGAGCGAGCTCTTGACGTCACCGTGGCCACCCCCGCAGGCGCAGCAGTGCTCGGCCGCCCGGAAGTCGTCGTCGTCGGCGGAGCCGCAGCCCTCGGGCGCCAGGGCGTAGACCGTGCAGTCGTTGCCGTTCTTGTCCAAGCGCGTCTCTCCGTTCGAGTCCGAGCACCCGCCGCCGAAGCTGAAGTCGGCGGCCTGGAATTGTGGATTCCTCTTCCGTGACAGAGGGACATGTGGGAAACTAGGCAAACAATAGCACCAGGATAAGATCATAACAGGTTGGGGAAATCGGAAAACAAGAGGACAACAGTAGCCCTAACTCCGCAACAAAAACATATCGATGCGCAAAAAACACCCGACGATATCAATGAGCCCACTGTGTTTGCCAACGGACGAACAGCGCGACTGTGCATCATCGCCACGTCGCGTGGGAGGATGGCCGCACGCTGCACACGTGCGTTTGAGACATCGTGGAGTTTATGACAAGTAGAAGCCGCCACGTGTCCAGTACACGGCGTGCTTGTGGGATCACCACACTGCATGCGAGCACCACGCTCGTCTACGAAGACCACAGCGCGCCTGCGACATCACCGCGACCGCCTGCGAGCATTACTGTACGTTTACGAGCACGGCTTTATGTTTGCGAGCAACTGCACCTTCCCTGGATTGCCCGCGGTAGGTTGTGAGTACAGTTGTCTCTGTTGTCTCAAGCTATAGAATTAACATTATCCAAAACAGTTCTTCTGTCATGCAATGCCATCCCCCCTCCCGCGCTCACTCTTTCTGTTTGGTTCTTGCCCGGGGAAGGGGGCGTCCATGGGAACAGGGAGGAAGGGCCTAGGTCTCTCAGAGTTTTTTTCTGACACATATTGCGTCAGTGCACTTGGACCGTTCCAAACAATCGTTGTTCCAGAATTGAAGGGGCTGCACCTCGTCGAGAGCATTCAGAGCAGCCCCCCCCCATCAGCAGCGCCTCGCCGACTGCTTCCCGCGCTGCCCCAAATCATCCCGAACATCCATTGTTTTTAATTTGAGGGGTTGCGTTTCGCCGAAGGCATCTCCAGGGGCGCCGAAATCGTCCCCAGGGGTGTCCTGGTTTCCGAAGGATTCGGTCGAGCATTCTGCGTGCATTGCCAGCCCGTCCACAGCCGTTTTTGGCCGAGTTCATTCTTTCATAGCAGACGATGTTAATGTGACAGTTGTTCCATGAAGTTCTTCCATGTCTTGTGTGGTTGCTTGGCAACCGCCCTCAATATCATTCATATCGACATGCCTGCGTTTCTTCTGGAGGAGTGCAGCACCTGTGAGATGCCAAATATCTCAGATGACGGTGGTGGCGGCGCATCTTCTTCTTCGCGATGATGCGAGATATCGCAGACAATGAAGCTGGTGCCTTCGGATCTTTCGCGATGATGGGAGATATCACTGATAGTGCAAGCGCTTTCGGATCATTCGCGATGATGAGAGATATCGCAGATAACGGCAGTGACCACTCAGAGCCAGCTGATGATCATCCAGATGGCAATGCTGCGCCACATGACGTTCCTCCAGACATCTTGCCAGATGCTCCAGATGTTTGCCCTGCAATTCATGGCGTTCCTCACAGCATCAGCCCAGATACCGATCCGGATGATAGTCCAGCAGTTCATGGTGACCCTCCGCCGGATGCAGGTTCTTGTGGTCCAGAGCTTGAGGTCATTGCATACGAACTTCTGGCGGCACCACGTCGGCTAGAGGAAACATCAGATATCATGGCATACCTCAGCATGGGGTCAAAACTGCCTGATGCACCATCTCGCAAAATACCGCAATCTGCAGTTCAGATCGTGAGTAGTCTGCTTGTCAGGGCAGCCCCTCCGGATAAAGCTCCTGCCAGTGCGGCCAGCACGCACAGCAGAAATGTCAAAACGCTGTCGGAATTTTTCGCGAGCTGCTCCATCGTTATCCAGCGGGTGCGGACCGAGAAGATCATCGGAGATCTCACCAGCGCAGTCCTTCAGCATGGAGGCGAGGCGCCCGTGTACGTGGAGGTCACTCGCGGCGATGAGACGCCGCTGCGGGCACGCGCGCGGTCTTCTGCAGGACAGGCCGCCCGCCATGAGAGTGCGCTCATCGACCCAGCCATTCCGATCATCAGCGACCTGACGGATGAAGATACGGTCAAACAGAAGATTGTTCAACCATATTGGAATGGCGCCGTTGCATACAAGCTCGGTTGCGGTGATCGTTTCATGATTGTGAAGTGTAGTTTGTTGACGTGGTTGCAATGCAAATATCGTGGGACTGCCGAATGTCTCCACTAGTGCTTCTCTTCTGTGAGACCGCGTTTCGAGTGTGCGAAGATGTTCAAGCGGCACAGTCAGGTGTCCACCACTGATAAGGACGCTGCCATCGCCAGAGCGTTCAACAGGCCAGCGGAGTACGGCGACGCTGAGGTTCGCGTTGGTTGTCACGTGCACGTTGCGAGCAACGTAATCGGCAAAGCATCCCGTTGTTTGAAGGACGACGTCAGAGCCGTGGTACATCTCACGCTGAGCCTCAAACAGCCTGGGGCGATGCAGCACTTCAGGAAACTACTGCGGCGTCTGGTTTCAGCAGTGAGGATCATCGAGGGTGTGCCTCCACCAATTTTCAAAGAGCATCGCGATCACGTTCTGGACTTGCTTTTCGACGGGTGCGATGCTGCTGATCGAGCGAGGCGCTCGGTGATCGAGGCGCTGGCAAACGGCAATTGGACCACCAAGGGCGTCACATCGAACATTGGAGCCCTGCCCCCACGACGCGCGAAGCGGTTGTGCACCGACTCCAGAGGCCGTTCGTCTGGGCAGCGGCTTCGGCAGCTCCACGTGTCTACCCAAGACATCGGTGGACGGGGGCAGCGATCACGGAGCGGTGGGTGCTGACGCTGCAGCCCTGCCACGGCATCCCTGATGCTGTCTCCTCCGAGTGGTGTGGCAAGAGGGGGGGGGGCGCCTGCCGCCCCAGCTGAGCCGGCGCACCCGCCTGCTGGACCTGGCGGCGACGAGCGTGCTGGGCGTGGCGGCCTGGCCCAGGGCGGAGCCGAGGACGGCCGCCGAGATGACTGGCTGGGGCAACAATTCGCCCTCGCCACTATGTTGACCTTCCGCCGAGTTCACGAGGGGCATCGTCGCTTAATGCCGGCGTATCGCAAGATGTTTGGGATCAAGTGGGAACGCCGACAACTGTGGGTTGCAACGACAAAAACTGCGGCACTGTGGTAACTTTTTGAGCCAGGACAACTTCCGTGTGACCGCTGCGCAGAGTTGCAGGCTATCCAGGGTCAAACTCGTCTCCAAACAATGTTTGCACCGACGCTGCCTCATGAGGCATCTGTGTGTCTCGATCGTTTCTCATTGTTCCCCTGGGCTTCACGATATCACGTATTGCGCTTGCGCGCGTTGTTGTACATCGTTACGCTGTCAACATATATTTGCCTTCGGCCTGCTCCGCCACCGCGCCCGGGTTGTGGAATGTTGTGGACATGCGTCCTCTTGGTCATCCCGTGGAATCTCTCGAGCGAGGTGTGTCCGGGGCCTCTTGGAAAATCGCGTGGTCGTTCTTGGGTGAAGGTTGCTGGTCAATGCTGCTCCTCTGCTTTAAAGCCTAATATAGTTACATGTCGTTATGTATAACGTTGCTTGTTTGCCTTTTTTTCTGCGGCTTGCGATCCAAGTCCGCTCATGTGCGAATTTAGGTTAAGGACACTTTGCAAACTACTATGACAGACCTCCGTTGCCCCTCACCACGTTGTATCCTGCTGCAGCCTGGGATGCGCATTGCTGGTTCAAAACTTCTATGGCCTAAATCTCCTTGCAATGCTGATCGAGTCCATGGCGCGGCCATTGCTCCACCGCTCATGCTTTCTCCACGCCACGCCGCAGCCCGCACAGCCTGGCCTACCCCGCGCAACCTCCGATCACCCATGGCTGCTGAAGTCTGGAGCGCGCCTTTCAGTGGCTGCGCCGACCGATTGGACGCCATCGTAACCTCCCTTGCAACGTGCCACCCGCCGCGTATATCAGAATGCGCGCCCTGTACGCTACTTGCCGCGCAGCGCGGTGTCGGGTGCAGCTGCGGGCCGCCAAGCAACCCCACCGTTCTTGAGTGCGCGACTGCAGTCGGCGCCACGTCGGCATCGCCGCCCGTCGTGGTTCAACGTGTCCTTCTAGAGTGCAACAGGACGGTTCGCAAGCATGGTTCCGAATCGGTACCGCACCCCTCCCAACGTTATGGCATGCGCCTTGCTGAACCCGAGTCTGAATCGTGCGCCACCTCGTGCGCATCCCTGTATCACATTTGTGGCTACGCAAGCCTTGCAAGCTCAACAGAACCATGTTGTATCACATGCGCGGTGTCGGGCTCGGGTCGCTGGGGGCCCGCGCGGAGGGTTCGTTCGCGCGCGCAATAAGGGGCCCCGTGGTGGCATAGTAACTAAGAAAGCACCGCCTAAGTGGCGGCTTATTTGCACTCTGACAAAGCATGTGACGGCCGTGCGTCGGCCGCTCGGTCAGCGCACGACGCGCGCACGCGCGTGCATGGTTTGTGATCTGCGCTAGACTTACGGCAATGGTGGCCTGGAACCAAAAGGCCACCCTCAATGATGGCCGAATGGCGTTTGTAAACGCAGCGCGCGCCCATCACATGCTAGCGGTTTCTTATAACGCACATCGCGGGCGCGCGCGCGTTCGATCGCTGGTGTGTGGACCATGTGGTAGCAATGCGTCGGCATAACCGCGCGGGGTCGGCATTGGTCCCTATGCGGTGCCCGACGTGGTTTCCACTGTACAAATGCATCGGCCCGTGCCGTGCCATGTGGGCCAACGAAGGGCGCACGTCTGCGCGCGCGAGCGGTTGTCGTGCAACGCGCGTGCCATGGCATGGACATTTCGGTGGTGGCTCGGGGGCGCCCATGTGAAGCGCAACCACGCGATGTCGCAGTTCAGGGTTTGCGCGCGTTCGCCGCGTACCTATCCTTCGAGGCCAGCCCGACGCCTAAGCGCGCATTTGTTGGTGACGTGAAGCCCGCAAGAGGGGCCGTGCTCGTCGGATTGGGACCGCAGCGCTGTCTTTGCGGCGCGTTCCATTGGCACCGTTTCAAACAAGCCCGCGCGATGTCTCACTCGATAAGTTCTGTCAGCGCGCGTTGCGCGCATGCGTGAATTCGGCGGGCCCAC